CACAGCTCAAGCATCACAGATTCCAGTCTTCCCTTTTTTTTTTTTTCTCCCAACCTCCAGCTTCACGGTCCCACATCTTCGTATGTGGCCAGATTACACTATTTATCACTCCAGAAGACAACAGGATATACTGCTTGTTATAACAGTAGGATATAAGTTTTAAGTAAGTTTGTCTGGATTCTAATACCTGCCATGCCACTTTACAAGTTATGTGAATCTGTAAGAGTTACTTCTCTGAGCCTCATGGTGCATAAATGTTAGCCTACTGTTTAGGTGGTAACTGCTATTATCAACTGTTTTGTGATTCTCTTGTCTGGCTCTCATATCAGTCTCATTTGTCTGTCTCTAGTACTTCTCAGAGACAGGTGTATTAGTAGACCTTCTGGAAAGTTTTAATTAATAGTGGAAATATTATTGAGTAGATGATGAATGCATTGTTGGATGGATGAGTGGATAGATGACTGGATGAATAGATGAGTGAGTTTGTGCCCTGGATAAACAGGTGGAGGAATGGATTGTTAAGTGGATGGATTGAGGATGGATGGATGGATGGATGGATGGATGGATGGATGGATGGATGGATGGGTACATGGTCAAATGAGGTATGATGGATGGATGGATGGATGGATGGATGGATGGATGGATGGATGGATGAGCTTATGGGCTAGATGGATGGGTACATGGTCAAATGAGGTGTACAGACAAATTGGCCCTGTTGAAATGATATGGCACAAAGAGAAATTCTACCTGAAGTCAGTCTTGTCAGCCAGCTAAAAAGATTATTCTGTAGTATGTGATTTATTAAGTTTGGGTTATTGTCTTTTTTCTTCTAAGCACAGATGTCTTTGTGTTCAGAATTTTTGGTTTCAGGCAACCTGTTATCTGTAATAGCATTGCATCCTTGTAATTTAGACCTTTGGTAAATCCTCTTCAGGGTTTAGAAAATACACACATGAAAGTATATTGTGTTCACAGAGTAAAGGCCTATAACATGTGTCCTGGAAGACTTAGTAGTTTGGTTGGGAAAAGATTGCCCATTAACATAAGATTGCCAATCACAAACATTCTAGGTGTTTCCATGACACCAGGTAAGAGATACTACTGGTTTTGGCTTCCTCCAAGATAACTCAGAAAGCTATTTGGAAGAGGCACTCTGTGTCTGAAAGGGAAGAAAGAAACAGACTGTCATGAGGAAGTGGCCCAGAAAGAGGTGAACCTTGAAGGTTGAGAACAGAAAAGTCAGTGGGTCTGAATACTAGGCACAGCCTAAGAGAAAGTGGATGATGACGGTGAGGAAACCCAACTCAGGACAGAAACATCTCTAAAAATACACAAAATCTTCGACCTAGTGAGGACTGTCCTCTTAAAATCTCGAATTCATCAACTAAAAATGAGAGTAACAGTGTCTACTGGTCTGAGGAAGATTCAGAGAGTGAAGACCTGAGCATCACAAGGCCTTGCCAACTACTCCTGCTCTGTTCTTCTGCTTCCTCGAAAGGAGGAAAGATGGCGTAGACTATGTGGCACTTAGGAGAATGAACTTTAGAACTATGATGTCATCAAATCCAGACACGAGGTATATAATCGTCACTGTGTTTGCCTCAGGTTCCTCACCTGTAAAGATGATAATACTTACCTGTTTGGACAATTCTAAGAAATACACAAATTAATCTATGATAAGAATCTAGGATAATGCTTGGCATACAGTAAGTGCTCCTTAAGTATTTGATTTCATTTTATTATTATTAATAGCTATTTTTATTGTCCCTAAAGGTGTGTATGTTGTCCTGATGACCAGAGTAAGAAGCAGCAGTAGATAAGGTGAAATATAAACCACCTCTTACCTATCTTTGGTATTTTCCAAATTTAGATTAGAATTGTCTAATATTAACTTAGATAAATGTAATTTATGTAAAATACTAATCTATCATATAATATTTGAATATAATCTAGATGATATAATCTAATGGTAGTGGTCATGATAACTCTTAAGTAAAGGTAGTTATTGCCCCAAATCTTGAGATGGAGAAGCTGTGACCAGGGGCTGTTTAATTACTTGCTATAGCTAAAAAGTGGCACTACTGGCCTTCTCCAGCCTTTTATATTTCCATGCAACAAGATCTATTTGATGTGGCTGTCTTCTATGGCAGCCATATGGTGCATGGATCATGAAACAAGCCTGAAAAGGGGAGTCTCTTTGTCCAAATTGTCACAGTGAGGAAGTGAAAGAACTGAGATCAGAATACTAGCCTCATGGTTCTCAACCCAATGTGACTGAAAATACTTAGAAAGATTCATTTATTTTTCTTTGCTATAAGAAAATGCCAGAGACTGGGTAATTTATCAAGAAAAGAAACATATTTCTCACAGTTTGGGGTACTGGTAAATCCAAGAGCATGGTACCATCATCTACTCAGCTTTTTGCTCCATCATCACATAGTAGACAATATTGTATGGTGTTTTAGTTTCTTTTTTATTGCTGTGATAAAAACACTGACAAAAAACAGAGAAGGAAAGGGTTTATTTTATCTTACGTGTCCAGGGGTGGCACTGCTCACAGTGGGCTGGACCCTCCCACATCACTCAACAATCAAGAAAATGTCTCACAGACATGGCCACAGGCCAGTCCAATGGAGGAACATCCTCAACTAAGGTTCCCTCTATTTGGGTGTGTCAAGTTGACAACTGGAGCTATTCGGCACATACGGTAAGCAGAGAAATTTTGTCAGCTCAGGTATCTCTTCCTCTTCTTATAAAGCCACCAGTTCCATCATGGGTACCCCACCTTGATGGGCTTCTCTGTTCTAAATCACCTTCCAAAGGTCCACCTCTAATATCAGCATATGGATTTGGAGGTTGAGTTTCACCATGAGTTTCAGAGAAGACATACAAAGCACAACAAGAGATATTTAGATCCTGAGCTTTCTATCTCTAAGGAATAACATTACCTGGCACTTCACAGCGAAGCAGAAGCACAATCTTGCAGTGCCAACTCATATGGCCAGTGATGGGAGATTTGATGACTTACCTTGGGGTTATCCAATTTCCATCCATCAGAGATCTGAGTCTTCGCTCTTTCATCATCCATGGTCATTATTCAGTTGGTCTAGGATGTTGAATGGTTTTCTAGGTCACCAGATCTTGCTATGCTGGTACTCATTTTCCCCAGCTCAGTCTTTAAAGAAAGCATGATTCTTCATGTTTTCCTTCCTCTCAGATTCACTTTCTTCAGGACTTTTAGGGTTATTGGGTTGGGTTTTGCCAATAGCTGAGAGAATGTCGAGAGACAGCCATGTCTTGGGGTCTTTGGTCACTTCCTACTTTGGTTGGAAAGCCCTGAATATATATGTTCACACTTCTATGATTATAAAGAGTGAATCTTCCTGTGACAAGAAAATGGGATAATGACTGCAATTAATCAAATAATTCAAGAGGGAAAGAAACAATTCTTGCTCACTCAGAAGGATATTTGGGAACCTGAATTTTCTAGATATTTTTTTCAGCCCTCAAATGTATCACTGATTATCAGTGTAGAGAAATCTGATGTGAAATAAAAAGCATCCCTATATATTTTCTTACAACATAAGACAAATTACAGCCAAGGGACTACCATGGACTTAACATAAGATTTGCAGTTGCTCAGAAGCCAAGAGCTAGCAGGGGCATTGGGAGAAGATTTAAGACAGTGATTTTTTTTTCAAGCATCCTTTTGGAAAGAAGAATTCTTAGCCATGTGAATCTTAGATGAAACTACAGTTTATAAAATAAATATAAATGGAGACGCTCTGGTTTTAGTGGGCCATGAAGGACCAGCAGCCCCACCTTGGCTGGATCCTCCTTGCCCACTACAGTGAGCCTGCTCTGGAAAGTTCCTTTGCTCCTGGAACACAATGGAAAATCAGTAATCTAGTTCAATTTAAGCAGCACATAAGAACATAAAGGCACCTCATTTATTAGGGTCTGTTGACACTGAGTATCAGAACCCTTTCTTCTCAGCACAATGTTCTTTCGTGATGAGGTAAACTTTGTTCTAGTCCTACTGTGTAACAAACAGCCCCCCAAAATCCAGTGATGTAAAGAATTATAATTCTTTTATTTTGACTTAGTCTTCACTTTGGGCAGGGTATAAAGGGACTGACTTGGTTTTGCTCCATGTTGCCAAAGGTCTCAGCTGAGACAACTTGCTTGAATTCTAGCTTGAGCTACAGTGGCTGGAAACTAGGTAGACATTTCTTCCTCTTTGTGTTGTCTCAGAGTCTGTGTGATCTCTCCAGCATTGTGGCTTTGGGAAAGTTGCATTTCTTGCATGGAGCCTTAGGCTTCCAATAGAGAGGTCTAACAATCCAGGAAAGAGCTCTAAGGCTTCCTTTTTTAAAACCTAGCTTGGAAATCCCAGCAGTCTGTTGTTGCCCAGGGTCATCTGCAGTTCATTATTGGAGGTGGACACTACACATGAACCTAAGTCCTGGGAAATGTATATTGTTGTTTGGGATCCACAAAGATGCTGGCTCTGTGTTTCCATGTTTTGGGCATGACCTTCTGAAATAGATTTGAATGCTATATTTCCTCAAACAGAGAACACCAAATGAGTTCCTCTCTTGTTGTTTGGATCCTAGGAACACTGGCATGTGGAAAATTGGTAGCCTGTTTATTTCTAGGATGCCACAGAAAGACCCTTAAAAATCCACAATGATAAGGAAGCTTGTTTTAGTTGGCCATAAGGAAGAGCTTTCAAACAGTGAAAGGAGCCACTGTGAGACTTGGCTTGCTCTTTATGAGGTAGCGAGTCTCCCTGTCAGAGGCATGGTCTCTCTCACTTCTTCTGGCATTGAAAGTAGCTGATTAGAAGAAGCTGCGTCTCCTTGCGCTTAGGGATGCTGAAATAATATGTGCATTTCTAAGAATCAAGATTTCATATAAATCTAATTCTTCTTTATTTGTCTTTTCTTTTTCCCTCCTTTTTGGACATTTCCTTCATCTGACTGCCCATCAATATATAGAAGAAATGCTTATTCCTACTCCTATTACTTGTAAGTATCGAGCCGGTATCAACTGCTTTGTGCCCTGTAAGGGGACCTGTAGCATGCATTTCCTGCACCAACCGATTGTCTGCTGGTTTCTCATATCCACTTCTGTCTAGTCATTTGTAGTCTGAAAGTTTTTATTTTGTGTAGATGTTTTTCTATTTGAAATGCACTGTCGTTTATTCATGTCAATTTTGTTTCTGCCATCCTGATTTCCCCTTGTGCTTTTGGAGAGGTGAGGAGCTGTTTCTCCTTTGTGAGTGTCCTTCTCTAGCCAGAAGTACAGAAATCCCAGTAAGAGAGAGGTAAAACAGAATCTCCGGCCTCCAGAACTTCTGAGACCCTTTGTGTACGTTCAGGGACTGAGTAGCCTTGGGGGCTCCAGGGCTGGGAAGGAGTCCGCTGGCTGTTTTCACTACTGTAGGAAAACTGCAGAGAACCCTCACTTTATCTAGGCCCAGCCTCAAGGGTGACAGAAACAGCCAAAGTTTTTGCTGTAGGCTAGAATTATCTGTTTGGCATTTAGCATTAGTTATCTCACGTTATCAGTACATTTTGTTTGCTGCTCGCTTATCAGTGTTTTTACACTCACTAAATAAGATGATTTTTGTTACTAAATCAGAGTTCTTCAAAACATGAGGGTAAAGGAGGGAAACTTCATACAATAGATCATTGGTGGGAAACCTTAGAAAAGTCATTGAAATAGCCTCATATTTCCAATATGCATTTTCTGCTTTTGGAAATTGAGGTTCAGAGAGAAGTATATGAACTCATCACACATTCAGCTAGTGTAATAGAGCAGCGCTCAGAATGCCAGGAACTTGGTGGAGTATGTCCTTCATCCCCTGTCTTCCCTCAACCTTGACAAGCCTAACCTTATGAGAAAGCCCTGCCTATCAGCGACCCTCTGCTGAAACCTCCACAAGGTGGAGTCGGAGCCAGCAGTTGCTGCCCCATCCACTCTGCTCAGTTAGTGCCAAGCTCCGAGCACAGAAGATGATGATAGCACTACCATCATCCATATAGGGACCAGTGTTCTCCACCACCACTACTGAAAGTCCTAGAATATTTAAATCATCTATTCAGCCATTTATTCAACAAACATGCATTGTGCATGCGTACTGTGTTCAAGATAGAGTAGATGAAGAAATGACTAGGGCCTTGAACTGCATCCTCCTGATGTTCTAGCCTATCTGAGAAATCAGCATAAACAAATAATTTAAATAACAGTTGAAAGCTATGTCTACATACCAGGATACAGGGCATTTATGTTGTGTGACACTATTCCTGGAGAGGTGTGAACAAACATCTAACACACCCAGATAGGGAACCAATGACAGACCAGAGTAAGGATACGTCACAGTCCAACCCGGTGAGCCAATGAGTTTTATTGGGGTTCTTTACAGGAGTATAGATGAGGGGTTACTTACAGGAACAGAAATAACAGCTGCATCATCTAAAGCTCACCCCCGTATGGGTGAGAGTTCATGAAAGCAGGAAACTGGAGCGCACTGCACAACCTGTAGGTGGTACAACAGGTTGGAGAGTGTCCTTTCCAGATAGCTCAGTTGGTCTGAGCCTCTCAGGGCAGTTCACCTGGTCTCTGCTTCTTCCAGGTAGTTTGACCTGTCTGAATGTCTCTCAGCAGTCTTGTGGAGAGAGAGGCCCAGGGAACCTGGTCAATCCTGAGCTAAAGGAGCTTCCCTGCAGGATGCAGTGTTTCACCTCTGCTCAAAGCATCCTGTTGTTTACCCAGCTTCCCTCCAACATAGGAGGTTGTATCTCAGTGGAAAATGTTATAAAACAACTTTGTTATATAATGAGATCATTAATGTGGGTAAATATAGTTAATTGGTGGATTTAGAAATGGATCTGCCCAGTCCTGGAGAAATAAGCATTTTGACTGGTCTAAATAGTATTTTTAAAACACAGGTACGGAAGGAGAATAAGCATTAGGAATCACACATTTCTGTGTTCAAATCTTATTTCTATCACTCAGTGCTTTACAGCTTTCAGAATGTTTCTAGACTCTTTGAGTCCCCATTTTCTGAACACTAAAGGGCAATAGTATCAAATTCATAAAATTATCTTGAAGAGAGAACGAGATGAGTTTGTGAAGTGCCTGGCACAAAGTTACTGCTTCTGAAATCTTAGTTTTCCTTCTTTGTCCCTTCAGAAACTGCAAGGGATTGTGACAGTAATGATAGCCCCTGGGAGCTCCTCTGGTCTCCCGAGCATATTATGAAATCAATATTCCACAGTAGGTATGGACACACACTGGCTCATCACAATTCTGTGCACCTCTGCAGGTTAGCCAGTGCACATGGCGTGCCTCTAGATGCCGAATCTATGCTATCCACTGTGCCAAACACTGTGATAGAATCAAAATTGAGCGTGCAGAAGTATGGGAGACAAGTATTCAAACACATGCAGTTCAAGTGCAGTGATAACTAGCATCCTTTCAATTGCCCTGAACATGAAGTTCTATGTTATAGGCCCTTGAATATGAAACTCCACGGTACCTAGAACATGAAACATGCTTTCTGGGAAGCATAAGCATGAGAATGAAGTGTGCGGTTTCTGCAATAATATTCATAAATTTATGTTTATCAACCCTAAAGCATCCTGAGTGTCCTATATGGTATGTTACTATAGAGAATTCTCTGCAGTTTTTGCCTTCTATAGAGATGTCCTGGTTGTTAGCTTTCTCTTAAGTATTATTGTCCCATATGTAACCTCCAGAAAACACTTGCCAGAGAAAATGAACCACCTGAGCATTAAAAAGCCTGAACAGATGAGACACATTTAATCACCTGGAGTAAAGGAAACTACCAGCACATGCCAGGTACCATGTGCATATATTAGCTTACTAAGTCTTCAATATATCCCAGTCTAATAGGTCAGTCATTCTCCTAAAGCCACTTAGCAATGGATGGGAGGGAGTATGGATTATGTTGGAAATAGGAACATCTGAGGAGGGGAAAATGGTTTGGAGAAAAAACGATAAATCTGGAAGCTGATAGAATTCCTAAGTAGAAATGTCCCATGGGCGCTTGGGAATACAGAAGTAGTGTTTGTGTGGGAGATGGATGTTTGGGGCTATCCTCTGAGACTGGCAGAGGAAAGTATAGGGTGGGTAGAATTAGGACCAGAGAGAGACTAGGAGGAAGAGCAAAGGGCTGAGGTTTCTGAACTGATCATGATTAACACTTTACAGGGGAGAGGAACTGGCAAAGCAGATAGATGGTAGGAAGGAAGGGATAACAGCCAAGAGAAGGCCATTACAGAGGAGAAATTGTTTGGTCATACCAGATACCACAGGGGACAGAGGGCACAGCCTGGACATTCAGACCTCAGAAGTCACTTCTAAAATTACAGGATAAAGGTGGGGAAGGAAAAACCTAAAGCTGGTGATGGAGGTGGGGTGACTGGAAAGGAAGGTCGAGAAGCAAGGTGTTTCAGGACAAAGATCAGCCTAGAGAAAAGAAAGGTAGGTCTGCTGAGATCAGTGGACTGAGACACACACTAAAACAGAGGGAAAAGAACAGAACAAAACAAGGGCTCAGAAAGATGGCTCGGGGATAGATGCGCTTGCTGCACAGGTTGGATGGCCTGAACTTGGTTCCCATGGTCGAAGGAGAGAACCAACTCCTGAAAGTTGTCCTCTGACCACACACGCACACACATACATAGAGTGAGCATTCACAGAATAATAATCGATAAAATAAAAATTAAGAAAAAATACATTAGAAAAGGAAGGAAGGAAAAAGGAGAGAGGAAAGAAAGAAAGAGAGAGAGAGAGGAAAGAAAGAAAGAAAGAAAGAAAGAAAGAAAGAAAGAAAGAAAGAAAGAAAGAAAGAAAGAAAGAGAAAGAAAAGAAGGAAACCAATAGCCTCCATAATCTCCAGATTTGAAACCCTGACAGGGTAGATAGGGTAGATCCTGAGTGACAGCCTTGAGCCGTTATTACTCAGGTACAGACTGCAACACAGATGACCAGCTACATCAGCAGGAGTAAGGGCGTAGCAAATGTAACATCTAGGGTCCTAGCCCAGATGTCCTGAAATAGAACCTGTACCATGACAAGATCTTCTGCTGATTCATGGTCATATTGCACTTTAAGAAGCCTTAATAAACCACAGGCTCGGTTATCAAAAAGATAATATTCTCCAGCCCTTGGGAGGCAGAGAAAGGCATATCTCTGTGAGATCAACACCAGCCTGGTCCACATAGTGACTTCTAAGTGGGCTGTGACAAGGGAGACCCTGTCCAAAATAAACAAAAACAGAAACAAAATCAAAATGATAATAATAATAATAATAGCAAATAATACTCTCCTCACAGAGCTTTGGGGTCATATGATCCCTCTGAAATGCCCCAAATTGTTCATGAAAAAAAATGAAGCCTTCTGTGTACTTTAGTTAATTTCTATAACCAAATCAATGCTAATGCATTCAACAAATAATTGTGAACTTCCCACTATGTGCCAGGCACTTGTGGGGGCTCTAGGAATTTAGAAATGAGCACAAAGAAAAAATATCCATCATATGGAGATGTTTAGTAGGAGAGAGGAAATAAAAAGCGTACACACACACACACACACACACACACACATCATACAAACAAAGACTGTGAAGAAAAGCTAAGAGAAAAAATTAAATATGAAGTGTAAGAAAGGGGGCCTGGCAATATGATTTGGTGGATAATATGCTAAACCCTTATGACCTGAGTTTGGT